AAAAAAAAAAAAAGAATCACTTGTGAGGACTGGGATGTCAGTGGTAGAGCACTAGCCTGGCATTTGTGAAGTACTGAATTTCACTCCTAATACTGCAAAACAAATAACAAAACAAAATCACTTATGGAAAGAACTTGTACTCTCTCCATGTTCAGGGGCCTATGAGGCAACTTAAAATATATAAATATATAAACACACACATATTAGGGTTTTTGTGTACATGTGTGTTTCGTTCTGGGTGTTTCATTGTTATCTGCAACATTAGGGCTCAAACCCAGACCCTGGTACACGCTAGCCAAGCACTGTACCTCCGAGCTGGACCTCCAGCCTGGTAAGAGCTTTCTTTTTAATTTGTGAAAATGTTAAGATTTTTTTCTAATCTATTTCTTTCTTTTTTTTTTTTTTGGTACCGGGGGTCGAACTCGGGACCTTGCGCTTGTGAGGCAGGCACCGGAACCATGGAGCTACATCCCCGGCCCTATTTATTTCTATTATAATGATCAGAAAACATGATCTGTAACATCAGAGGTCAGCAAAATCTTTCCATAGAGGACCAGAATAAATATCTCACATTTTTGCAGTCAACTTTTATTTTTATTAGTCCATGTTTGCAGTACATGATGATTACATTATGGGGGGGAGTGGGCACAAGTACATAACACATCTTTTTTTTTTTTTTTTTTGACCGGGGGATGAACTCGGGTTCCTTCCCCTGCCGCAACATGTATATAAACACACACATACTCCCCCTATCTGCTCAGAAAGTGCATTTCCAGGCCTAGTTTTTGGCATCTGTATCACTAAGCTGTAACTCTTCTTTTTTTTTTTTTGGTACTGCAGATTGAACTCAGGTCCTTGCGCTTGCGCAGCAGGCAGCGAAACCACTGAGCTAAATCCCCGGCCCACTAAGCTGTAACTCTTAAGTATAGACAAAAGGAATGCTGAAGGGGCCATTCATTAATTGCACCGAATTCTTCTCACTTTGCTTTTGTGTTCCGGACTCTGATTCATTTCCTAGCTGTTTCTTTTGGCCGTTTCCTAACAGTGATTCAAGTCTTCAAGGCATTCCTTAGACTGTGGTGTCATCCCCGACCTCCTCCTCTTGTAACCTGTATATCCACATTAGCCCAAAGTATGTATCTTGGAATAATATAAAATGACAAGGCACTGCACACTCATACAGAAAGGGAGGGAAAAAACCTAAAAGAGGATGAACAAAGCAAATGAAATTCTAAGTGCTGTCAGGTTAGGGCCACAGACACGATGAAAATAGACAATAATCAAAGTAATTTCCTTTCTGTCCCTCCCACCCACTGGTGTTACAGTAGTTAAAATCTCCTTGGGGGATGAGCTTTTAGATCTGGAAAGGTTTTTTTGTTAGCACTGGATTAATTTGTTTAGCACCTACATTAGAAGAGCAGAGGGCTGTGGGCTTCCGCACTTTGGGGCTGATACCTACTAAGCACTTTACGTCACTCCATCCAGCTTGAATGTTTTAGCACTATCTGGTGTGCAGTAAACTTGAGAAATTTAAACCAACATTCTCCCTGTCTGAAACTGAAAGAGTAGCTTTGATCAGGCGCTCACGATGCCTTTTAAAAGCAGCAACCCTGGCCCTGTCAAATTCAGTTTTATGTGCTGGACTCTGGTTGGGGGCAGCAGGGTGAAGAGGATGTTGTTTCACATATAACTCAGCACTTTATTTGCTCTGTTTCCCAGGGACCGGAAGCCTGTGATTAGGTTCAAATAACCAGGATAGGCTGAATTCAAGTGTTTGCCAACATGCTCTGGGTTGAAAAAGGAGGAACCAAAAAATGCAGACTCAAGACAACAGAAAGATAATGGTCAAAGAAACCGGATTTTCCCACCACATAAAAGCTACCTCCACTGCTAGATCTCAGAGCACCGTCTCAATTGAAAAGACGAAAGAAAACTGTAAGTACTGAATACATGCCAGGCACAGGGCTAGGTATTTTTTTTTACCCAAGTCTGAATTGGGACAGATCTTGGGGCAAGTATAGTTAAAACCACTCATTTGACAGAGGTGCAGTCTTAAGTCCAGAAGGATCTAAAACTTAAAACTACGACCAGAACAAATACCTGTGGTCTCTCCTTTCTGCCTCAGTGTCCTTACCTGGCTCCAAGAATACCAGTCGGTCTACCAATTAACATTTTTGGTATACCACCACCATCACTGGTAATTTTTACTTCTCTCCTGTGCAAATATAGTCAGTTCTGGACTAACACCTAATTTAGTGCTGTTAATTGAAGCTTTTGCCTATGAGGTTCTTCAAAACTACCTGAGAGTTGAGTCATGCATTCATATCTCAAATGAAATAACCACTTGCAGAGCATTTGTTTATTCAGGATTACTGAGATGCCAGCAAGGCTGCAAAAACCAGTGTGGTGTGGGACACTTCCCAGATTAGTCTTCTGACTGTTCCTGCTCCTTTGAAGGAGTTTCATTCCTAGGAAATATTGCATTACTAGGAATTCTGCTAACTGTAATAGGCTGGAGGAGATAACTGAAGAATTATTTAAAAACCAGAAAGATGAAATGTGAAAGTGAAGCTATTTTAATGTTTGTATATGACCTGTAAACAAGAGACAGGGAAAGAAATACTAGAGAAAACAGAGCCAGACATTCCCAAGTCATAAGCCGGTTTTCACTATAGTTCCTCCAAAATAGCTACCTTCTACTTAGTATCAACAATAGGCCCATGAATCACCTGAACAAATCCACACATTCCATGTGTTCCATGTTACACATGAGCAGGCAATTCTGGGACCAATTCTAAGGCATTTAGCAACAGTAAAGTAGCCCTGAGCTTTGCCTACACTAAGCTTGTAGGTTAATTAATTATTGGAGCCAAGAGTATAATATACTCTTAAGTACACAGACAACCATTATGTACCCAGATATATGACACAGAACACAACTTTTGTTAGCCCCAACAATAGGGCCAGCCTAGCTGATTAACTCTGAGAGGACACAATTATAGGACAGTGGCTCAGTGTATCAGCACATCAAAAGCCTACAATGCAGATGCAACTTTTTTATAAGGACAGATCTAGAATCCCCCTTTAAAGTTAATAAATGCCCTAAAATGGACTATATTTTGAGTGAAGAAAAATTTACATCAGCTAATAAATAGATTGGAAAGATTTTTGAGCAATACATTTTTTAAATCCTATTCAGTCCAGAAAGGGTTTTAAGAAGCAAAATTTGAGTATCAACAAGACTCTGCTGGGATGATACCAATACAAAGCTCAAGATTACCAAGTGGCAGTTCAGCAGAGGCTCAGTGCTGTGAGCCAGGATGCCTGGGTTGACTTCTTGACCAACTCTACCATCTATTAAGCTCTGCAGCCTTGGGCAACTTCCTCACCCTCTGTATGCATCAGCTGTTTTCATCTACACAAAGAGGAATCATAACACCCCCAGGGGCTGCTGTGAGGATGGAATGGGATAATCCATGTGTAACACACAGCACTACCCCAGCACACAGTGAGGAGTCAAGACACAATAGCTGGAACCATCAAGAGAGGTCAGGGGTTCTCAAGTGGGCTGTATATTAACTCTACCAGAAAACCTTAAAATTACTCATGCTTGGGGCCCACCCTGATCTCATGAAACAAAGTCTCATGATGAGCAGTTTCTGAAAAGTTCATTGGGTGATTCTGGGGCTCTGTGATCATTGAGAACCACCAGCTTATGTTATGGGGATGTTACAGGTGTGGTCAACATCAGTGTTTTAAGTTCTGTAGGTGTAAGATCATTTATTTTTACAATTTTTGTAGTACTTCTGCATAGGTGGTATGGGTCATCCTGGGCTCTACTTTCTGAACTCGAGACAGCTAGCCTCATTAAATACATACTTACATCTCCAGCATAAACTTTCTCTTACCTCATGCTTTCTGTCTTTAAAATGGACTATGTTTAGGAGGGCAGATGTTTCCAGGTGCTGACAAATGCAGTGGGAATCAGTGAGTATGGGACCGTGGTGATGCTGTTCCACGCGTCTAAAGTTGGGTCATAACAGTCCAAAGTCTTGCATCTCTGGATGCCAAAGTATCCTCCAACCACATATAGTTTGTTTCCGGAGGCCACAGCATGGCAGCTCATGCGCTTTGCTGTCACGTCTCCCACCTTGGTCCACTGGTAAGTTTCACTGTTGAATTTATAAGCAGAGCAGGCAGAGAACTCTGTATCTCCCCCCATAATAAAGATCTGGTTCCCCAGCACAGCTGCTGCTGTGTAACGCCAGGGCTGGGGACAGGTGGCAGGTACTGTCCACCTGTTTTCACATTGATCATAACACTGAACCTTGGGGAGCTTGTCATGACTGACGCTGGTACCTCCGAAAGCAAACAACTTGAGTTTGGCACTCACTACTGCAGCATTGCTAACGCCCTCTCGAAGTGGGGCCACCATGGTCCATTTGTTGGTTGTGGGGTCATAATGTTCCACTTGCTTTAGAGAGACAGAGGGCGAGGCCGGGAGACAGCCAGTTGCGGCTGTGTGCCCCCCAACCACATACAGGCAGTGCTTCAGTTCAGCAGAGCCATGGCCAAACCTGGCCACCAGCATGGGGGCAGCTTTGGACCACTCCTCATGCAGGGTATCATAGACCCAGACATCTTTTGAGACTCCATTTTCAGACCCACGGCCCCCAGTAATATACACTTTGCAGCCAATGGCACATGCACTGAACTCTTTTCTTGGGCTGGGAATGTCAGCCTTGGGAATGATTTCTTTGGCCTTCTGGTCCACCAGATACAGCTTGTCACACATGAAAGTCTGTCCTCCCAAGAGGAAGAGGGCATGGCCAGTTTTCCGAGGCCGGGCACAAAGGCTGGTCACCACACCGTCATTCTGCAGGATTTTCAGTTTGCACCGGATGGCCTCTTCCACGATCTCCTTACTCTTTCTCTGTTTGGTGATAAGTTCCTCCATGGCCACCTTCTCCATGAGATAGATGGCAGGTAGGAGTGCCAGCCTCACTGTCTGCAACAGTTCTGGGAGGTAGCAGTAGCGCTTCTTCAGGTCGTAACTGATCCAGTTAATTGCAGATTCATATACAAGTCTTTCATCTTCTGTCTCCAGCTCTTCACTGGACAGGAGCTGCACAACCATGTCCTGTGGCAGCTGGAGGAAATCTTCGTTCTTCCTGATGGTTTGGAAGTTGCTGAGACACATTCTCCAGGACAGTTCGTACAGCTTGGTGCACTGGTGCGCATCGGACAGCAGCAGCATACCTAGGCAGTTGGTGGGATGCAGGTTCTTTTCTAGGAATTCTGCACATGCATCCCGGATGTCTTGAAACTCCAGCATGTCACCAGCTTCCAGGAGCGATTCTGCATTTTCTTCATTGATGATGACCCGGGAGGAGTATGCGTAGTCAAGGAGCAGCTCTAAGACTTCTGGGTGTATGGAATTGTCAAAGTTGACTTCACTGTCCTGGCTCTCTTTCAAGCCACCACTGAACATGGCTTCAAAGTAGCGGCTGCACGCAGCCAGCACCGCCCGGTGGCAAGGGAAGGTCCTATTTCCGGCATGGAGGAGGACATCTGTGAAGAGACACTGCTGCCTTAAAAGATTCAAATGCGTGAGGACGCTGTCGGCATAGGAAGACTTATGAAACAGATAGATGTTAATGGAGCCGCTGCTGGCCCTGGACTTGCGGTTCTCATGCACACTGACTGACATTTTGTTTCCACTCCCTACAAAACAAAACAAGACAAGGCAATGAACACAAGGCTTCTGATGTTCCCAGCAGCCAAACAAAAGCAACACTCATTTTGGACAAAGAAAACAGGATACTTTGTAGTTAGCCCTGCTGTCTACTCTTCTGTTAAAGTTAAGGCCATTCCAAAACAAAGCCTGGGACAACCACCTGGAAGCAACCACATTTACTGTAATAACTTTTGCGATATTAGTACCACATACTGTTAAAAAAAAAAATCGCTGCTTAAAAGCTGGTTCATCTTGGAAAACCTGCCTGTCAACTTCCAGGATACTGAAGTCCTTGAGAATGTAAGTCAGCAAAAGCCAAGGGGAGCAGATCTCACTTCACAGCTCTTTGTGCCAGTCCAGCTGATTCACTGCTGCGCCACTTAAAATGCCAAACCCCCTGCTCTCATAAAGCCAGGAGACGCACCAGCTTTAATGCTCTATGCTACATAAAGCCATGTGTAAAACAATACCTATTAATTAATTCCATCAAGAATTCCTTTGGTAAGGTCCAAACTCCACATACACAGTAAATGCCCAATTTCTGCAATGGCCAGCCCTTTAAATACTAACAGATCATTTCTAACCAGACAGCTCTCCCACTACAGAGTTCTAAATGGACCCCAGCATAAACATTACCATATATTGATCAACATGCTTTAGTAAAAGCACAGAATGGATTCTGGCCACAATGGCCATCCACCTTTCTTGCTCTGGAAAGCTTCCAAAATGAGGATTTGGCACTGAAAAGGAAGAATATTTTGAGTAGCACACTACTACTGCTTTTCTGTTATTCCAGCTCTCTACTAATTCTTGGAAAGCCAGTCTGAAGAACAAAGGATGCATCCACCCCCTCTTTGATTAAAAGGTGTTTGTGGGAACCTGCAAATACTGGCATCTGCATATAAGAAAGTTCAAAATGCAAACACTGCCTTATTTAAATTAAAAACCACACAGGGGTGTATATGTGTGTGTGCACATGTGTGTGTGCACACATGCACAGATGTGTTATTTTGCCAGCTATGGTTAATTGAGGGCCATCCTAGAATTTATTTGCTGACTAACGTGCTTTCCATGGTAACTAAAAGTACAATAGAACCAAATTCTACCTTCTGGTTTTCTGCAGTAAAAAACATGTAGGGTAAAGACATGGGAAATGGTTATTATCCATCTTTGAAAACCAAATCCCGTCCCCTGCACACACAGACTGTACACTACCCCTCTGCCACTTCAAAGGAATAAAGCCCTTAAGAACCTGCCTGTCCAAGGGTTCCTGACAAGTTTTGTATCCCCAGAGGGTAAACTATATAGCTGGTTACAGTGTCTCTTTTAAACCTAGAACAGCCAGTACTTATAGCACAGCTGAAAACATCTGTTTTTCCTTCAACTATTCAGATATTTATTTTTAAATTTATATTCCAGGAAATGCTAATAAACACAAATGAATGATTTATCAGATGTATGGGCTAGAAATACTAAACTACTTTCCCAACCAGCTGTGAGAGAAGGCACAGAAAACAACAAAGGCAGGTGCCTAGCATGACTCTGACATTCAGACCACATGTTAGGTGATGTAACTTGTTTGCCTTTATTGCTGGAATTTAACTTTTTATGTGTAAACATGGCTTGGAGGGAGAAAGTAGGCAACACAGTCTAACATCTAGAATTCTGGTATTAGACTTTATAAAGCATCTACAAATCTCCACAGTGGCTTGGGAAAATGGAAAGGAGCCAAGCACCACACCACCTGAACTCCCTCTACCTGCAAGTCCATTTTAACCAAGGCCCAGAGCTCTAGAGAATGACTGCTAAGGGCCCCTGGATGTACCAGATTTCTGAAGGGTTCAGACATCTATCTTCCATGCTCCACCACTATGGATACCTTTTGAATGAGTGCATTCAACCTTTAATATTTGGAGGAAGACTGAAAGTGTAAACTCTAAATACTGTACTCCTATGAAGCTGCCTCCTCTTCTCTCAAGAAAGGCAGCAGCTCTGACAGAAGAACTAGGCACAAGCATCAAAGTGCTTGCTCGTTGAGCTGGAATCCAGCTGGGCCCAGACTCATGTCCCTGAGCATGAGATTTTCAGGTATAAAACAACATTCACAACCAGGTGCACACTTAAGAAAACAGTTTGGTTAGAAGACCTCAGGATACAGGATGTGCATCTCTCTACATCCTGTGCTTATGCTGCTATCTTTACCAGGTTGGCCCAGAAAGCCAGGAGGGAGAACCTAGCTTCGCATCTTGGATACCAACCAACTGGAAAAGCATGTCACCATCAAAGTTTAACATTCCTGCAGTAATTATGTGATTAAAATAAAAGGTTCGCACTTGAAATCCCAAGGGAAACAACTTGCTTTCTGGTTTAGAATTATGCAAACGTTAAAATACGGGCAGAAAGACCGTTTAGACAGTCACTAAATGCACCTTCAACACAAAGTGAGTCATTCTTTGGGCATTTTTTTAAGCCCCCAGAGATTCAATATTTGCGTGCCACGGACAAGGCCAAGACAATGCACACATATACTTAACCTACTTCTACAAAGAAGACAGAGAAAAGGGCTGCTATTACTGTGCACATCAAAGGGGCTTTTAGTTACAGTAACTTCAGTTCCCTTAAGGTCCCTTAGACAGGCTCTCTTCCTCCAATGAGTAGCGCCCCCAAAGTTTCCAGGTTGTGAGCCCGATCGAAATCCCAGCAATAAACTAGGCAGATATTTTCAAGTATTTACATTACTGATAACAATGGAACATTATAAAGACCTTCAAAATAATTTTTAACTTCCAGCCCTCTTCAGTAGTTGCAACGCTATTTAATACGCCGACTGCCTGTAAGGACGACACCAAATTCCATGTCCAACAAGTTCAAAGTTTCACTTCCACCCCACCCAGCAATTCCTATCCTTTGATTAATAATGTTACACCAAAAGCCAAATGCACGCATGAGAAGCCAGTTTTTCAGAAAGCAGTTTTCATTCATTTCCCAAGACGTTTGACCATAGTGAGGTGCCCCGCATGAGGGGTGTTTTATGAGTGTCCCCAAATCTCCTCGGAACCGGCGAGGATGCAACGGGGGCCAGGCTGGCTGGCAGGGTCCCCGACTCAGCTTCTCGCTCCCCCCGCGGCTTGCTCGGGCCTTGAGCGGCCGAGGGAAGGCGCGCCGGCCCCTCAGCTAGGTCCGGCTGCCGCGGGCTGGAGAGGGAAAGGGCGGTCACCGAGGTCCCCTCCCCGGGACAGCTGCCTCGGCCCGGCGCACGCCCGTGGCGCCCGCAACAGGTCGGTTGGTGGGAAACTCACAGCAGTGGAGACGCCTCCGCGCACAACCGCTGGGTTCCTGTCTCGGTCACAGGCGGGGAGGCGATGAAGCCGGCGTCTCAGTCCCGGGAGAAAGGAGCGCTCATGGGTCGCCAGGCAGAGAAGGGCTCGCTCCCGGTGCAGGGGCTGGCCTCGGCCTCGCGGTGCCCGGTGGCGGGGCCCGCTGCACGTCTCCCGGAGGACGGGGAGCCCGCGGCCGGAGGAGCCACAGAAGGAGGCGGGCGGTGCGCGCTCGGGGGTGGGAGCTCTAGCGCCGTGAGCGCCGGCGGCCGCCTGGCGTCTGCACCCGGGTTCCGCCGCGCCACTTCCTCGCCGGCTGCCGAGCGCTCTGCGCCCAGCCCCTCGCGCCGGGCTATAAGCTGTGCGGCCGGGAGGGGAGGAGGCGCTTGCAAAGAGCGGCCACGGGGGAGGACAGAGAGCGGGAGGGGGCCGGGAGAGGAGCGGGAAGTGCGAGTGTGCAGGGACCGGGAGAGGAAGCGGGGGAGGGGCTGGAACGCAGAGACAAAGCGGACGCCAGTCTCAGCCACTCCAGCTGCAGCCCTCCAGGACCGCGGATAAAATAAATTTTCCCGGGTCGAGGTGTCTCGTCTCCCTGCAACCGAGTTACGGATGGCCCCGGAGTTGAGGGACCCAGCGCAGGGGAGGACAGGGCGGTGCAGCCGGCGCGGCCCGAAACTGGGTGGGCAGAGCCAGCGCGCGCGGGGGGGGGGGGTCTGGGGCGCGCTCCCGGGCACCTGAGCCAGCCTGGCGGGTGGGACACTGGAGGGGGACAGTGGCGAGGGAAGGGGCACAAGTCTGGTTACGGGGGTGGGGCAGGCCGGGATTTGGGGGCTTCTCGTGGGCTGGGAGAACTCGAGAGCCGGCGTCGCCCCGGGGTCCCCACCCACCCGGACTCTGCCCCGCGCAGCCCGGGAAGCCTGGCCTGGGCGCTGTCCGGCGGGCGCACCACGTGCTTCTCAGCCAATCGCCCCAGCGCCGGATTCAAAGCGTGCGCTTCAAAGACTGCCTCGCCGCCGCCTTGCGGTAGCGGGAAAGCCCCGTCATCCCTCACACTCGGCCCTTCCTGCGTTTTATGGCTTGATGGAAAAGCTCAGCATACACACGTTTGATGCCCCGTGTGTCAGGCGGAAAGGAAGGTTATTTTGTTTTTTTCAACCTTTGCACTAAGGCCCTGTCTCTCCACTGGGAGCTAAAATGCCCGTTTGGGGTTTTATTCGTATTTGGGATAAAGTCCATGAAAGAACTGTAGCGATTACCGGTCCAGCCCCTTGTTTCACAGGTGAGGAAACAAGTTCAGGTAATGGGGAGTTGCCGGCCCGTGTGAGGGCCCCGCCGCCACCGAGTTTACTCCGCCCTCCCCACACCCCCCACGCTTCACCCTCAGTTTTCCTTAAAATACTAGGTCAGAAATAGTTTCAACTGGCTAAGGAGGCTCTCCCTGGCGCTTCCGAAGACCACAGGCTGCTGAACCCAGTCTGTGGGTGCTTTATCCTAGATCTTCTCTGCCCTTGCAAAGAAAGACAGTGCCCTCTGAAGTCCTTTGTTAGTATTGACTGGTCAGCCTCACTAAGAGACTTTTAAAATCTGTTTTCCGTTTTAATGTTTAGCGCGGAGTCCTGGCTCCAGCGAGCTTCACAAAGCCAGAGAGGCCCGATAAGTTCAAGGTAAGAACCGGGTGCAGGTGGGGAGGATCTGGAAGCCAGAGGGAAAGAGGTGAGCAGAAGCAGCCCCAGGAGGAGGGGGTGGGGGAGGAGAAAACCAGCTGAGACCGAAGGGACGGGAACACTGTAGACACCAGAAGGAAGTTGAAAAGATGAAGGTGGAAACCTGTAGCTATTCCGTGCTTTTAAAAGCATGTTTCTGTGACCTATGGCAAATGGGGGGCATCAAGACAGACTCCCAAGTGCCTTTCAGACACCTGCTAGCCATCTCTGGTTCGTGGGTGAAACCCAAGTGTGTTGGTTTTGAAGACCAAATGTTAATACCTTACACATTCTGTATGTGATAAGAGTCAACATTTTTCCTCATCAAGGAATGTGTCCTTCTCACTCCAGTCACCAAATCTACCAGGAACCATCCTCGATGACCCTAAATAGGAATGGCATGTGGACGGTGCATGTAGCTCAGTTGGTTGGCGGGGAGTCTTGCCACTGGAAGCCCACAGTGGGGACAGGTAATCTGTTTCTGTTGCATCTTTACTACCTGGAATTTGCAGTGTCCTTACCCAGGGGATGGCAAAGTTCACTTCTCTTTGCAAAGAGCTTTACTAAGCAGGCAGGGCTAAGAACAGAATGCAATCTCTGGCCACAGGTGCTATTTTTCTGTCTTTTCTACCTTGTGTTGTCACTTCCCATGCATCAGTAAGTGGGGAAAAGGTTATAGCCTGAAAAAACTTGAAATGTATTCAGTGACTATATACATTGCTTCATCTGCCTTGGGGAGATAAGCAACACAAAGGTAAAGAAATTAGTTCATGTAGGTTGTAAAAACTGGAGCACATTTTCCCACTGAAAAATACAAGAACTAAGCTTACATTTTGGGAAACTGCTTTTGCTGCCATTGGCCTTCTACAAAGAGTACACTGCTTCACCTGAGCCAATGTATCAAAATTTTCAGGCCATTGGGTGATTGCTAATGGTTATCTCACAGCTGAAAGTGATTTGCAAGTCAGCATATTTATGACCTAGCAACTCAAACTGTGCAATTTCTACAGCCTCTCCCAGACAATCCTAAGGTAATTCTTTTTTTTTTGTACCAGGGATCGATCGAACTCGGGCCCTTGCGCTTTTGAGGCAGGCGGCAGAATCTCTGAGCTAAATCCCCAGCCCTCTAAGGTGATTCTTATCACCCCACCTGCTGGAAGATAAGGTAAGTCCTGAACAGAAGGAAGCCTTTTGCAGGGCTGTGGTCAAACTGGACAACAATAGACATAGATGTCTGAGTCACAGACAGCTCGGGAAATGCTACCTCTCTGTATTGTACAACCCCCCCGGGAGCCTGTCTCTGCCTCTGCCTTGTGACACCACACCAAGGTTTCAGTCTTTAATGCTATTAAGAAGCTGCACCCAAGGCTTTGGCCTTGTTATCTCCTCTACGTTACTTTGTTAGGCTGCAAAATAAACAGCATGGGGTTAAATGTATTAGCTGTCTTCAAACCTAATTTATCTTCATTTCTTCCTCATTTACACTTGGGCTGAATTAATGAGAATGATTTAATTAACATGGTGCGATGCTGGTAGTGGAGACAAGAAGGCTCAAAGGATTAAACCAAACCATGGGCCAAGCAGCTGCCATCCTGCCTCCTGCTGTCTCCCAAAGCCCCACCCAAATTTCAGACAGGTTCCCTGCTGTCGCTGTATTCCAACAGCACCCTCTTTATTCTTTGATCCACTTCCTGGATCTGTGTGAGGAAAAGGGCACAGCTTTCCTTCCTTGGTTACTCCCTAGGTAGCTTTGAGGCCCTGCCCTGTAGAATCCATGTGGCAGAGGGGGCAAGTGGCACCAAAGATTTGTGCTCCTCTTTCCAGGCCATCAAGTCCATGGTGAGACGTGAATCTCCTGGCCCCTTATAAATTGGGATTGACACCTATGGAAGGGAAAGAGGAAATAGGATAGGCAGAGGGAGAGGTTAAGCTGGGTTGCTTGCAGTCTCTGCTGTGGCTTCAGCCAGCCCCTGGGGGCCTCTGGAGCTGAACTGACCCAGAAGAGTTGTCCTAGTGAAGATAAGAAGGCCACATTATCCAGTGACTGAATGCAGACTGCCCAAGGAAGGAACTGTGGCCTGGAGCACAGTGGCACATTTCTGTAGAGGCAGTTGTGAAGGACACTGGCAATCAAAGGCCTTCTGCCACCAGCGCCTCCAGCAGCTGGAAGAACCAAACCTTTGTTCCCAAGGAAGAACTGAGGGGCTCAGCACTGTGCCCACCTCCACGACTGGCACAGATCTAGGGGCCTAGGAAGTGAAACCTCGGCTCCTGTCAGTGTTTCTCTTATTTTCAAAAAGAGAGGGAAAGGATCTGGCTGTTAAAGAGGCAAGGATAAGGAAAAAGATCACCAGTGCAAGAAGTGATCAGCCTTCTGTCAGTAATCATTTTTCTTGCTGGAGAAGAGCAAGGGGTCTAAATTGACAATTAAGTTTTCTAAGATTTGGTGTGCCGTCTTCTGCATTTACACCCTTTTTATTTATTTATTTTTAGTACTGGGGATCAAACTCAGGACCTTGCACTTTCGAGGCAGGCGCAGGTACCACTAAGCTAAATCCCCAGCCCTATTTACACCCTTTTAAAATCATCGTGTTTGCGTTAAGTATCTGTTATGATAAACCTAGGAAATATTCCTAGGATTGGATCCAAATTCATTTGGTCATATTTTAAAATTTCAGTTGCTTCTTACATCTATTATATGTACCAACTCATGTGTATTCTGTAAATTAAATTGATTATAGTATGATTCTCAGTTTCAAATTCTAGGTGTTCACTGCTGCTATGAATACAGCTGACTTTTGTATAATGATTGTTTAATGAAATTTTTGTGTGGAAGTCTGTTTTTGTCTGTTAAGTGCTAAGCACCACTGTTCATGTTGACCTCCTCTGTGAAGGGTTGTTATATAGCTTGGAAATTCATTCTTCGTCTGAGATACCTCACCTTACCCAGCCTCGGATGACTTTTCAAGGGGTAGACAGTTTATTGGCTGCTGATGGGACTACAGAGGGACCCATTTGAATCCCTTTTCCCTGGATTACTGTGTAAAGCTTGGGCATTAGTAAATCAAGAACCTAAACTGCTTATGTTTTTTCTACTCCAGGGCCCTTCAAGACAATAACCTTCACATTTCACTGTGAGTTATAAGTTTTAGGGGCAGGATTTTAAAGCAGCATTTATTATTTTCTCTGATTACAAAAGCAATGCACGGTAGAAATTTGAAAAATACAGAAAAGCAAAGCCATAGACCCACGACTTGGAGATGATGACATTGAACATTTACATTCCCATCTTTGTATGTCCACATACTGTTTTATTTTTTTCGGTTAAGTGGTTAAGGGCAGTAACTGTAGAATCAAGCTTAAATTCCTGCTTCTGTATTTACTAGCTGGGTGTTTGGGGACAAGTACTCTACTGTCAATTCTTGGTGCATTAGTTTCCTGAGCTGCAACATGGGATGATAACAGTACCTAGCTAGAGAGTTGTTCTGCAGATTAAATAAACTAGCATATGTAAAGCCTGAACCACAGTGCCTGGCTGGGGGTAAGTGCTCTATTCCACTTATTTTTACCATGATTCCTTAGCATGTTGTTTAAGGAGAATGGTTTTCCTATCATTCAGTAGGTAGTTTCCAAATAACCCTGCTAATAGTAACTTAATCCTGTTCTTGGCTGGGGATGTAGCATAGCAGTGGAGCATGTCCTGGGTTCCTCCCCCAGCTTACGTGTCCCCTGGAGTATTTATTTAAGGCTCTGCTCTTCTTGCACACCCAGGATGCTCATAGCTTGTGCAATACACTCAAATCCATGGGTCTGCCTTTAGCTTTTATTGATGTGGTCTTCTCATTTTTTTTGTACCAGAGGCTGAAGTTAATGATGGAGAAGCAATTCCTTGCTTTCCATTACCTTACAAAACAAAGCTGCCGGAAAGGGAAAGGGTTTAAGAAATCATACATTTAAAAAGGAAGCAACTAGCTATCCTTAGAGGAAGGCAGCTCTGGCAAAATGAAGCCTGTATAGAATACAGGCACCACTCTTTTCTGCCCTGAAGATCCTGTAGGGCAGTGATGGCAAACCTTTTAGAGCTTTTAGTGATAGCACAGCATACTTGCCATGGGTTTACCACCACTGATGCAGGGTATTCATGGTAAAAGCTCACTCATACTTATCAAAATCACATAGGCTTGGGCCAGGGGTTTAGCTCAGTGGTTCCATCGCCTGCCTCGCAAGGACCAGAGTTCGTTCCCCGGTACCAAAAACAAGAATCACACAGGCTTCTCTGGGGTGTGGCCTTGCACAACCTAGGGAAATCTTGAACCATTTTTCTCCTATTTTCCATAATCTTTTAAGCACCCCTGGCTCCTGGATCTAAACTCCTCATTTGTTCTTAAGTAATGGCATTCGAGAATTGACCGTTGTTCCAAGCAATGAAAATGAAGGTTTTATTTGGCCTGTGGGCTCTGCTTCCAAGGCAAGATGCCAAGTCTCCGAGCAGGTCTGGGCATGAGGAAGGGACCAGAAGAAGGGACCTTTGTGGTCCAAGAGCTTGCACCTTTGAATGAATATTAAAAGGATTTTATGGTAGTCTGCGAACACAGACTTTACTCAATGCACATAGCTCAGCCTCAGACATTTCTGAAATCATGCGCCTGAGAGTGAGCATTAATAGGATGAAGAGTGAGTGCACACAGAGAGGAAGCTGCTGGTGAATGTGTTTCTTAAGATTCCCTTAAGCGTTTCTCCTCAGGATGTGGAAAATAAAAACAAAAGCAGAGGTATAAACTCACATATAAAGCATTCTTATTTCCCTTAGCTCGTTAGTAATTTTAGAGTTTTTCTATAACCCCTCAAGTGAAAGATTTCCTATTTCCTTATCTGATAATAGAGGGAAATATTGAAATATCACGAGGAAATGGTCACTTTTTAAAAAATTATGTGTATTCAAATAGTTATGTCAGTTTTCATATCCACAGTTATGAAACATTCATTCATCCAATCACTCATCCAACAAACATTGATATATAGGCCTCGAATCAATACTTGGTTCCAGGAATAACCCTCTGTTCCACTAGCTTTTCTCCAGCCTTCCAGTGTGATTTTATAGCGCAGAGGTTTGGCTCCCCATCACTGTGCTTGTGTTTGCATTTAGAATGTGTTTCCTTCTAACTCTCACCCCATGGAAAGAAATCATATAGAGGGAAATTTGAGAGGAGTGAAAGGGAAAAGAACTCAAACATAGAAGGAGCTCGAGTCCTGTCTCTCTCATTAGGCGGATGGTGTCCAAGAGAGCCAGGAAAATACAGACCGCCTGGGCTGTGAACTGGTTCTCAATTGCCATTTTTCATGCAAGGATTATAAAGAAGCCCATTATTGCCTTGTTAAAAACTGCCCTGTCACAAATGGTAAAGTGGCTCCCAGTGGCCTTGGGCCAAGAAAGGAGAGCCAGGGGTGCTCTCTCCTGTTCTTATCAAAGGGTTCTGTTTTCACCAGGATCTGCAGTTTGCCCAGGGTTCCCCCAAACTCTTAGCAACCCCTCCTACACCTCTTCGGGTATACTTGTGATTCTGAAAATGAGCAGCAACACCAAGATTCCTTCTGATTGCTCAGACAGTGGTTTTTCTAGACAGGACCTTGATCAGATTCATCTAAATCCAGTTTCTCTGCTGAGTTTGTTTCTTTTTAAAAATTCCTTATGTAATTTTCTATGGCTTAATAACATATAAACAATCTGTCATGTCACTTTGTTTTGCATATGTCCTATAACAGGCAAAATGTTGCTTTTTGCATTATTATTTTTCTCCCCTGGTAACCTAAGAATGAAACTGCTACCCCAACAAAGCCATTAATGAACACAATTGCATGACTCCGGAAGCCACAGAGCAGAATTTTGGTAAATCAGCAGTGCCCTCTTCTGGCCACAGGAGAACCAATTACAGAAGGGTCTGACCATGTTCAAAACCAATTTATCGAAAAAGGAACGTGGACTCTTTTTTTTTCTTTTTCTTTTGGGGATTGAAAACAGAACTTTTGCACTGAACTACATCCCCAACCCTTATTTTGAGACAGGGTCTTCCGACTCAGCCCCCCAGACTCAGCTGGGGTTACAAGCATGCACCCCCACACCAGCTTCAAGCAGCTAGCCTTGTCTTTGTTGCCCTAAAGTTTCTGCATTCAAATAAGCAACGGCAAGTATAATCTAGGATGTGGCCAGTCTGTGAGGCTGGCCAGGTTTATAGTGATCCTGTGTCCTACAGACTGGCCAGCAGAGGGCACAGTGGGGCCATCACCTCAGCACAGACTGAGCAGTTCCCAACCAGCCAACCCAGTGCCACTATCCTGTCTGCATAAAATTAATGTAAATTGTCCTGAAGACCCAGGACAGGGACCTGCCTGTCCACTGGGATGGTCTGATAATGACTAGAATCCCTAACATTTCTATTGTCTCACCATGTGCCAGCTCCCCTTATACCCATCTCCTTTAGCCTCCACATCAACCCTAAAAGACTAAGGTCTCATTGAGTGAATGCAATGCCTAAAGTGCTTTTTAATCCCGACAGAACTGAGTTCTTAACCACTGCACTGCATTGCCACCTCCATTTTCCCTGCTAACTACAAGACACCTGCTTTTCTGTGCCCCGGAATGCCAGCTTTGTCCACTTGAAACACATGCCATGGATTTGCTAGAGGAGGAGAAGGAATGAATTGCTTGGTTTACTTTCTTTCATGTTGATAGTTCTTGTAAAGGTGTGACAAATGAGAAGCTGGAATCGATTGACTAAAATGATGTTGTCCTTAAAAATCCATTTTACCCTTTCGCTAGAATTGAGTAAACATCATACCAGATCATTCTTTCATTCTGGCGCACCGTACCCACCAGAGATTGGTACATAAATGCACAAAGGAGTTTCCCGATCAACTTGGTGTTTTGAATTTAACTCAGACATAGTTTCTTAACTACAGAATGAAGCACTGTTTCCTGAGCTATGATCAAGCCCCAAAGAGTTAAAGAAACATCTTCCCACTGCAGAGTCTGTAATCCAAAGGCCCAGGGGAGCTCTGTATCTGGAAGGGTCTAGAGAGAAAACGTGTTGGAAAATAAAGGAAGCTTTTAACTTCTGGGCTCTACCTAGCGTCTGTGACAATGTGTTTAAAAACCCAAGATACACAGATTTTGCTAAAGTTTGGAGAGCTTTACGTTGGACAGTGGTTTATAGATGGAAGGGTATTGCCACTGAGCAGGCACAGGGCCTCCTTGACCACGTTGTGATGCTTTACGGCCCTTGAAGAACTCAAACACAGTAAAACCTCAACCACCTAGAAGCCAAGCCCCTAGAATGAGTAATAAAACATTTTTCTTGTACTGACTCTTGGAGAACAGATGCTAAACACAAGAGAATATGCCCCATTGGAGCTTTCTTTTACAGGCATCCAGCCTAGGCAACAAATCAGTAAGTAATGTCTAATGCTGATAAATAAGAGTTGGGAGTACTGTATAAAAGCAACAGAGTGAGATGAAAGCGAAGAACAGGAAATAGAACAGGAAACAGCTGTTCCCCGGGGTCTCTACTTCAGAGTGGGCTGGAGATGTGGGTGAGTGCAGGGAGGCTGCTGGTTCTCTTGTCCCTCCACGCTGTTGGATTGTACATCTGCGTGTTTTTACTACTTTTACTACTAAGAATTTTTAAAAGTCAACTACTTTTGGTACTGGGGATCGAACTCAGGACCTTGTGCTTGCGATGCAGGTGCCAG